CCCGGGCGCCCCAGCCCCCGCCTCCTGCCCCCGGCGCAGCTGGGCTCCGTTTGGATTTCGGTGACGCTGTGGCTCTGTTCCTTTGCTGCTGCCGCCACTGCAGCCAGGGGGAAGGGGTGGGGAGAGTTGGGGTGGGGGCGGCAGAGCGGCTTGGAGAGCAGTATCCCCTTCCTCTTGTTTGTCGCCTCCTGGGGTCAGGCCCTCACTCGCAGGGCCGGCCCAGCAGACGGCCCCAGTGCGCGGTCGCCTCTTGCCACCACCGCCTCCTGTACCCAGGCAGAGCGCGCCGCAGCCCAGGAGGTGGGGCCGGGCAGTGACCCCGCGGGAAGCGCCCGTGTGGAGGGCGAGGGTGGTTATGGAAAGATGTAGCCACCCAGAAAGGCCACCGCCTTCCATCCTCGGGGGCAGGCAGCCTCCCTCTCTCTCCGAATCTCCATCCCCATGACCCTTTTTTCTCTCTTTTCCCTCACTTTCTCTCCTCCCCCCATTGCTTCTCTCAGACCGGCCTTAAGGTTGAGTACCTGCTCAAGAAGTCACCTTCCTGAGGCTGACTTTGCCAAAGCCATCCACATCTGTGAAAGCTTTTCCAAAGACTGACTCTTTCCTCATCTTTGTGGCCCTGGGGTTCATTTGCCATAGGGTGGAACTCTTTTTCCGACAGAGGCTTTTTAGACGAGTGTCTTTGTGCTAAGGTTGGCACAGCAGTACTAGGAGGTTGGCTAATGACAGGGGAGGGAAACAAAGGCAACAAATAAGGGGAAAAAGAGAGGGCAATGTCACCAACAACAGGGGGGGCTCTCTGTGTTCCCAGAAAAGATGGTTTCCTTTGCAGAATCCTTCAAGCGTCGTTGGCATGCAACTGACTTATTTTCTTTGTATAAAGAAAAACAAATCCATGGGTCCTTCGAGTTAACCTCAATTAAAACTTTTTTATTTATTTTTTTAATTTTTAATGTTTAGTGCATTCAGTAGTTTGCTTTTTCTCTTTTTCTTGCTTCCCCTTTCCAGAGCCTTAGTTAATGTCGTATCTGTCTGTGCCCTGTTTTGGGGAAAATGACAGCCAAGGACTGACTTGGACAGAACAGGACTGGAATTGGGATTTAAGCAGCCTTGTCTAGGGACCAGGGCAACTGAAGTAGGCCCAGTTGCATCTCTTGCATACATCCTTTTGAGTCTCTGATATCACACCTTTGACAGGTTGCTTGCTAATGGACAATGTAAATCTTAGTACCGTGAATTGCATTATCACCTGAGAAAGAAAATGCTGATATTATTAATAAAAACAATCTCTTGCATTATCGTAGCAATCATTATTATTATGTCTTTTCTATACAAATGGGATTCAAGTGAATGAATTCTTGATTCATAATTTTTATTATACCCTCTGGAATAAGATATGCTCCTACTTTTTCTCTTTCCCTTTGAAAGTGTTAAACAATTGATTCTCATTTATTACATTATACCAAATTGTGTTTATTTTTTGCTTGTTAATCACCAAAGCAACTTTCCATCCAACTCACTACATCTTTGATAAAGCAAAACTTACTTCACAATTATTTGGCAGGTGTAGTTCCTCACCTTACCATCCCACTACTGACTTCTTTTTGACCCATTGACATTAAAACCTAAGGTTTATCTTCACAGAGCAGAGTAGGAATGGGAGTGAGTGGGAAGTCTTAGCTAACTCAAGAACCCAGGACTTTCTGGAGTCAGAAGCTTCCAGTGAAGATTGTAAATGTTTATTGTCCCAGTTGTGTGGACATGAGAAACACAAAGCTGGTGCTTTCAGAAAGAGCTTCTACCCAGACACTCACCAGTGAGCTTGAGATTCCATTACTCAGTCACCCCAAGCACATTCTCATAAATGGATTTTATGTTGACCCCTTGCCCATATCAGTTCAGAAATCACAGTCATGGAAGGAAGTGAATTGGCTTCCAAAGTGACTTTAACAGAAGCAGAAAGATCAGCCTATAGGTTATAGACCTTGCTGACCCATTAAGGGTCAGTAAATTAGTAGTCTGCAATTGAGTTGACACTTCTGATCCCAACTTAATGGGTTAATTAACTCATGGCTGTCATCTTCATTATGGGATATTAGCACATGGTTAAACCTGATCTTATAGTAAAAAAATTGTTTTTATGTTTACTTTTTTGGTTCCCAAGCTTAATCAATATTCATCATGGCCTTAATATTTTTTTAACTGAAGAGGTTAGTTAAATAAACCCTTCTATAGAGAAAAGAAAATTCAATACTATATATGAATTTGGGATTCACAATATCTGGTTGAGGAATTTTGCAACACACACAAAAATATCCAATTAAAAACACCATCTTCAAATAGAAAAATGCATATACACATATTAAGGATTTAAAGTCCACATCTTTCTCATTGGTGGTTAGTACCGTGACCCTCTTACTCTTGTGTGTACATTTGAATGACAGTCAAATTTAATGTGTGATATTTAGACCTACAATAATGGTTTGTGTAACTTGCTGAGTAAGAATAGTCAATGCCTAAGCCTAGACTTTGTCTAATAGGAAGTGTGAATCGTAGGCCCCAGTGAGGGACACATTTGTGATCAACATATGTTAGAAAGCAATCTCTAGACTGCATTGTTAAATCCATGGAGTATTTCTCATTTGTTGGTTTTCCTGAAGTTTCTAGAGCATTTGAAGGTTGGCTGCAATCCTGGTGGTTTGGGTATCATCAGTGATTACTCTTTAGTCTCACCATTTGATAATCCATATGTCAATAATGCTGGGAAACTGGTTAAGAAGCTTGCAAAATTTATACTCCCAATCATGTGATAGATTAAGAATTTTATAGATTGTTTGCTTCAGAAGGAACTTCATTCTAAACTCAGTCCATTCTTGTGTATTTCTTGTAGAGGTTTTGAATTGATTAATTGGCAAACATTTATTAAAGCAAAAGCAAAACTAAAAGTATAATGAAACCCAAGAATTATTCTACAGAAAAATATAAGGAGAATTAGGATACTTTAGTCTCTAAAATCAAGACAAAGAAGGGTGTCAAGAAAGCCTGATAGTATCAAAAACAGAGGAATGGTCCTTGGAATCCTGAGAGGACACTGAATTTGTGAAAGGGGAGATCATTGATAACCCGAGGGTGGGTAAAATGAAGGGCCAGATTGTGGGAGGGTAAAGAGGATGGAGATACTGAGAACGCTAAAAAGATAATATTAAATAAGAGTATCTCAGGATGATGTTCAGGATGATTAAATAAGGATATCTCAAAATGATGTTCTTGAAAGGTACTGTGGTTGACAAATCCTCAGTTCACAAGACCAGTCTCAGAGAAAATAGGATCTTTGTAGAAATGGAATAAAAACAGCATTAAGTACATTAAAAACGCTATAGCAAATAAAATCTGTATAAGGCACCTTCCTTTAAAACTATCCACACTTGTCAGGCATTAAAAGCCTGTACCAACAGGTAATCCTCTTGAATCATCTACTTTAGTTGTTCAGGGGACACATGGCTACAGAATTGTGATCTGCCGAGTAGAAGTCTCCAAGCTCTAAGGTACACAGATTATTTTTGGTTTTAAAGTGTTTGAGACCATTCTTACTTGAAATTCAATGTCTTTTGCACTTGCTTTCTCCCTTATTTCATTTTCTTAAGCCTTGCTAAAATGCTTTAGTAACCATATAACCTTTATACAAATTATCTTGGTATTTAGCGGAGTTTTTTTTCATTTGGGGAGATGGTGGTCCATCTGGTGTCATATCTGCAGAGTTAGAGGATGTGCTGTTAGAGGAACAGACCCCTCTCTGAAACACCTGACTACACAGCCCACCAGAGAGAGCAGCAATGTTTATTGTCTGGTCCTGCCCCTTCAGGGATCGAACTGAAGCTATAATAAATAAAAAGATTGGAGGTTTAAACTTGTGATGTGTAAATATAAAGTGAGCTATTTACAATTTGTCTGGCAAGAGCTTATTTTATTATGTGTAGGTATATTGTGAGAGAGGGAGACATAAAAGCAAAACATTTGACCTTATTAGATGGCAATCTGTAGATAGATTTTTTAAATTAAGAATTTGCTTTAATTATGGTGACTTTATGGTATGCTGTGTGCTTAGAGCAGGAATGGGGGACCAGCAATGGTTGCCATGAGTCACAGGCTGAGAATAACAAAGAGGAACAGCAACATCAAAGTCCCTTCCCCCCATACACACACATCTTCCCTCCTGCCCACCTTGGGAAATGCAGCAGTATCAACAACCATGGCCACAGAGCAAGGCTCACCCAAACTGGTGGAATCTGCATCAAGGGAAGACAAGGGTAGACAAGGTTTCAAAGTAGCAGCCCCTCTCATCATCACCGCATTTCCTGATACGTATATTAGAGAGCTCTGTGCCAGTTAGTACCAGAGCTAGTGGAAGTAGAATCTTTTTGGGATAGGAGGCTGGCAGAACTTGGCTGTGAGACTAAGGCCCCAGACCTGGTCACAACTGGGCTCTATGACTATCAGAGTACAATCTAGGAACCAGGCAGAAGGTGAGTCAGAATGATAGGAAGGTTAGGTGGAGATACGGGTACAGGGGCTTTGTTCTCACTCTAGAACTCTTTGTGTAGGGGCAGCAGACTCAACTCTCTTGCCAAATCCAGCTTCACCAGTGGGTTGGAGTTTTTAATATTTTCTTACGTCCCTGTTGTGCATGTTTTGTGGAGAGAGGTGAAAACTGAGTGAGGCTGCAAAGATTGGATGGACAGGGTAGGAAAAGGCAGGAACTAATAAAAATGGAGTAACCCAATGAGACTGTGGAATTAACTATAATATAATAAAACATTCATAATATAATTTTCCAGAAATACAGAGTCTGAAAGCTATAGTTATATGCTCAGATAAAATCATGGGTCCAGGA